ATATACGGTGCACAGTCACACTCTGAATGCGATGAAACTCGAGATTTAAATAACGTCTGCGATCCTGTCCAGTGATACACTTCGATCCGCCCGCGTGGAAAGAGCCGCCATTGCTGATCGTAAGAATTCTTCGGTTCCTCGAGAAAACAATTCTATTTCTGGATTCTCGATTCTCCCCCAAAAAGAAAAAATTCTTCGCGATCTCGAGAATTTAAAAAAAATATATGTACGTGACTATATAAATTAGTACCGATGACTATGCCAAAGAAATCTGGAAAATAAATATTTACGAGGCAACGAAAACCGTGATGGCCCGCGATACGATCTCTAACACGATGTTGCACTTTTAAATCAGAGTGGATCTAAATCTAGTTGTATTCGAGGCAAAACGAGTTCGACGTACGAACCGCCAATTTTATTTTTGCATCTCTTTGATGTTCCCTGCGATGGAATGTTGCTTGACGAAAGTTACTTTCTAAATTTGTTTAATCGGTGAATACTTTCTGCTTTTTAAAGAGTTAGTTTAAGAAAAACGATGAATAATCTTGGTATGTGGAGCAGTTAATTTTATGAGAAAATACAAACGTATAAAATGTAAATAATAATGTTCGACTCTCAGGGGGGGAAAAAATACCGAGTCGCTAGCTTTCATGAAACATTTGAACCCTCTATCCGTCCAAAAATTTGTTAACCAAATCCATGATGATCCTCCGCGACCGACCAGCCAGATTAATTCGCGATCGAAAGTCGCCCGACCGTCGCAATTTCGTCAAACTCGTTCCCCGTCGAAGTTCACGCTCGAAAGTGTTTTGTTTTTAAACGAGAACGCCCGGCGATTTTTGCACGTGAAAAAAAAAGACCGTCGATCCTGTATATTTTATGAGCCTCGGCCTACACGAGGAGACATTTATTGAGCCATTCGTCGCCGTGGCCGACGCGCGTCCAATTAATGCACTCCGAGTGTCCACCGATGCGTTAATGGCGGGTTTGCAACTTTCTAACGCGATGCAAGGAAAGAAGACATCGCGGTGAAAATTTGTAAAACATAAAAGGCCAGCGTTCGACGAGCATTCGAATTCAGAGATACGTATGATCGGAAACTGATAAGATCGATATCATATTTCGATCGCGAACGCCCAGCTGCAAAAAAAGATGGAAACAAGTCAGCTGTTTCAAAACGATAATTATCGAATAACCTTGGAACTTTGGAAGAATATCTGGAAGTATGGTCGCGAAAGCTTTCGTTGTAATTACTAAATGTTTCGTTGGAAATGACCACCTGCAGCTTTCGGCGAGAGAAAGACTGGCTACCTAACATTGTAAGCCTGTAATTCCTTCGCACGCTTTCACTATTCTCTACTTTAATGATTGAAGTTCATTAACGAGTGCTTCATACACTTTTTGCTGCAGAGCACACCATAGAAAAAAAATTTAACGATGTTGGATTCGAAGAATGTAGAGATCAAGCTACAAACGCAACACGAACGATCCATCTTCTAGGAGAATAAATATTAAACCACTGTCGGGGACTTTCTGCCACAGTGAGCAGTTTCAATGGAAATCAGGAGTTCAATCTCACGTACAAAGAAATGTTTTCTAAAAGGTTGTAAAAATCATTGTTAAAAAATTCGAGATGTCCATTGGTATCTGGTAGAAAATAGGGTTCAATTAAAGCAATATTCATTAACGTTACGCTGACGACCGAGATATTCCGATGTCATTCGTTCGTACGGTCGTGCAACGTTAGAAGTCAGCATCTCTCGATAAAAAATAAAGGGGAAAAACTGCAAAAGAAGTTCGAGGAATAAACCACCGTTAAATCCCCGTGTAATCTAAAGAACGACTTGACCCAAAAGCAATATCAAGTCAGAATATTTCGAATTGTTTCACGGTTTAACGAAGCGTTCGATAGAGTGTAAAGTAATATGCAGATTACGTTTAAGGAGCATTCCCATTACAATCTGATATTTCGTGCGACTTAACATTTAAGTGAAAAAGTATGTACGGTGTGCGCGTACGAAAATACTGACCGACAAGATGGTTAATCGGTTAACGGAATATAACGGAAATGTTTCATCGCGTTAGGTCGTTATCTCGATGGCACGCACAAAACGTACGTAAAAAAGAAATATTCGCTTTCACGATCGTGACGAGGTAATTTTACTGTCGTGACTCGGTCCGCGAAATGCATAAAAGTTATTGCTATTTTTTGGCGGATTACGAGACACGTAAAGTAAGACAATTAAATTGAGACCAAGCTAAAGCAACTATAGTGTGCTAAAATTATATTACAACACTTAAACTGGCTAATGAATAACGCACTCTGATAATGACTGTAGGCAATTAAAAAATATTACTTTGAACTCGTTGCTAGATTCGAGATAATAAAAAAGTCTCGATAATTACCAACGTCCCGATTAACGTATTTTGTAAAAAAAGTATTTCTAGAATGAATTGAAAGAATGTTAATGCCAAACCATTAAATTGTCTAACACGGTTAGTTGATAAAGAGTTGTCGAACGAAGGTCGGTTACTCGGAGAAAAAATTTTACAGGCTAGAAACTAGCCGTTAGAATATTTTTGACCGTTATAAAATAATTGTGCATCTGTGGCGAGATGGTAGCAAACTGCAAATTGGCCCTTGAGCGAAAATGAGTTTAGCATGTCTGCTGTACGGGCATTGGTCGCGACATATGGCATGGTGCAATGCGTGCGTATCAGTAAAAATAACGGGACAAAATGATCTTCCACTGAAACTGGTTTTCAGAATACTCGCGATATTAATTTCAATTACCGACTGGTCTCACCCCGGGTTAATCAGAGGTATTCCTGTTACGTTAACTATCGGACGAAGGTGTCCAAAATTCCAACCGACATCGTCGGAGTAATTAAACGCGAACGACATCCGTACCTCGCGCGAGGCGAGAGCATAATTACACTCGTGAAACTCAATCTTAACGAGAGTTAAGTGTAGAAAAGAAAATAGAGGAGTGCATGTTGAATTAAATGGAACAAAGAATAGAATACTGTAACATCAGTGTCAGCTGGTCTCTCCTACGCTCGCCATTTAAAGCAGCGTTTCTCAATCTCTTGAAAAAAAAAAGAAAAACATATTATATCGTGGGATAACAAAACTTTCTTTCTAAACATAACAGTTTCAAAAACACAAGATCAAATAAAAAGAAATATGTATGGAATATTTTTGACCCTTCTACAGATCTGCTGGGCTTTGCTAAAATCGGCATTTAACACTTCAGTGTGGTCCCTTGTTAGTACGAGCACTACTTCCTACTTCGTTTCTGAGAAACAGCGTCATCCATCTAATTAAATTTAGGTTTTGTACACACGGCCAGAGTAATTTGTTCTAGCTTCAAGGAAAAGTGACTAGAGTCGGCTTCATCTTAGAGGTTTCCTGCTTCCTCTTCTCCTTCACGCTTGAAGTTAAATGCTAGTGTGACTTTTCCTCGAGACCGTACATGGAATTGCTGTTTATAGTATTCTGTACGTTCTAACGTATAAAGTCGACAAATAATGTTAAAATTAAGAACAATACAAAAATGGCGTACCCTACGAATATGCAAAACTCTAGCGTTCCATGAAACACAATTTTGAAAACGTTATTCTAAAGAATCCGTGAGAAATTGGTAATTATCGAGGAGGTACGTGACAAAGTAAAGTTTGAGAGACACTGGCCTAGAGCAACGCGTTTCCCGAGAAAACGGAAACAGAGAAGAACGAGTCATTCATTATTACTGGCAAAGTGAACTGTCGGCGTGGATGATAGTGTGCGTACCACACTCGCTTCGTATGCTACAGGCGCGTGCTCGACTCTCGGATGCGTGAGATGCGTGAAATGCATTAGACCACGTGGTACGCACGTGTCTAAAACCAGTTTCACGTGAATCTAAACGGCTCCCGCGAAGCGTATTTCCCATCGGAATGTCCGAGTCACAGGCTTCCCCCTGGTCGCCTGTCGCGCCACCGATTCGTTACGAAAGTTCGGGGCACAATGTCCAGAGCGACGATAATAAACGCGCCAGCGGTTGAAAGTGTACAAAATTAAGCTAACAACTACGGGCCTATTATGTTCGTATTAGCAATCGCGTCGCATGCACGATCAAGCTGAACATGTTTTGCTATTCACCTGAAGCGAACCGCTACCAAACGGAGCAGCAATTTACTACGCAGGAACTTACTTTTGCGGCACTGACACTTTGATCGTGATTCACGCGGCGCGGTGGTTAATATTAAACCTTTATGTAAAACATTCGACACGGTAACTTCTTTCGTACCGGTCGAAAATAAATATCAGTACCTTTCGATGCGCTGGAACGTTAAGAAATGCTGGTCAAAGAACACTTCCGTACTGTGCCGCGGTAAAACGGTGTGACATTGAATTCTATAGGCGGTATCGACTTCCGAATTCACAGGACTTATAGCCTCGAAAACGTCTATAACGTGACAGCACTCCGAGTTAAGTGAGCAGAGTGAGGTTAAGTATCGACGGCAGCAGACGACAACGTAACACGAATTCTCTGGCCGTGACAATACAATTTTGGAAAAAATATTCTACAAACACGAGTCAGAGAGACAGCCTGTGCGTGCACAATTATTGTCCAAATACAGATGAGCTAGTTATTGTTTCTCGCGGAGTATTTCGTCAAGAATCGGATCGGTACGCGGCAATTGTCGTAAATCTTGACTGGAAAATTGTTCTATGAACGGAGAAGGAACGTAATTCTGATAAATTAAACTATTACTCGGCTTGTAATTGGCTGCAATTCGTGGTAAAAATAAACAGAGCGAGTTGACAGCAATGCTGGCAGGGTGGCACGAACGTGCGTAGGAGATCATCTCCGACCGAGCGGATACACTATCGTTTCCCATCAAAAAACACATATTTCCCGCCAAAGGCTGACCAACGAACAGGTACACACGACTCACGCGACTCCGGAATTATGTAACTATTGTTGCACGACTCGTAAATAAAGGCTACTTACCGCTGATCGAGGCGAAAAACGTCAGGATCGCGCACACACACACGTTACACCTAGCACTGCTTGCGCCAAACTGCCGTGTTGTGGCGCTACTGTTGGCCGCCATCTTGGATCGATCGATTAGCAGTCGAAATATGCGCCGCTTTTGATTCTCGAATTGGTCCGCCATCGTGTTCGAAGAAAGTGAGTGAAACGGACGAGTGAAAAACAGGATCTTTTCGCAATCATTACTTTCATTTAATCTGCACAAGATTGAAATACAAATAATAACAATCGTCGCTTAATACGCGGTTATCGTTCACACGTTTCATTCGTATACGAATATACACAGTGATTCTATCATGTTCGCCAGCAGCGCATGTAGTACAAGGCAATTACACTGATAACTGAACAAAGACCAGGGACATAACGGTACGTATACTATTCCTTTGGAAAAGTACAAAAACAAATAAAAGTTAAAAAGACGTAAAATGCATAATTTATGACTATCTTTAGTGACGACGATTTCGAATGTTAATACATTCTGTATAGCACAAACTGTACTATTTTATCAGAGTTTATATTTTTTTTGTTTAATTCACAATTTTAAATAACACACTTCTTTCACATACATAATTTACCTACATACATAACTTATTAGGATCATTGTCGATAATAATTAAATATTTCTCAAATAGTGTAGAGAATTATATTATACAGTGTATCGTCTTAGAAACAAGTTACCTTAATATATTTACTACTTTAAATAATAGGAAGAAGTATTACTTACAAGAGTTGTATGGTTGTGAGAAGAATCCACTATGATGGCAACAGTTTGGTGAGGTGTGGTGTGGTGAGTTAAAGGTTAACTTAATACTTTCAAATGGATTACTAATATAACTTGAAACTTATGATGTTTGCATTGTCGTAGAACTGTTGTCCCGTAACACTTTTTTCTATTATTTACAATAATGAAGGTATTAAGGTGGTTTCTTTTAAACGGGACACCCTGTATATTAAATTAAACCCTTATATCTAGAATATTTTATCAAACAAATCACTACACTTTGCATGACTTACGCAGCATAAGCTCTCATTGTTTGCTTTGCATGGAAGTTTAATACACTCTCAATTTTCTCCCTATCTTTTCTCTATGCGTTTCAGTAATTTCTAAAATTACCAATAAAAACGACTTATTTAATACTTAACAAGTATTAGAGTTCCACGCATCATCAGATTCTCACTCATGATTGTAGCTACTCAGTTCAGACTACTTGAGTCCTCTCGCATCATTATATTGCGTCAATTCCACGATTGCGATCATTATAAGGATTATCGAAAAATCGATTTACACGTAGCCTTTACTGCAAATAGAGACGCGTAATTGTTACGAGGATCAATATATCCACTTGCTTGCATTAAATATAGTTGCATTGTTAAGATCCACCAAGAATCACCAGCTTCATTATATCGAGTATAAATCGTGAAATAGTTTGTGTCCTGTATCTAATTATTCGAAACTGTTCAGAAAGTGTGTGCATTGCCGCAAATACCGCAACCTAACGCGAACTCTTCTCCGGTTGGTGGATGTTTCACATGCAATGGGCATTCGTCGCCATCGAGTTGTTCTGCTTTTGGTCCTAATGAAACAAATATAAGTGGTTATATGATATTTTTATATTTGTATATCGTAGATCGAAATAGGGCATAAGAAAGTAGAATGTTAGAAAAGAGATTGACCTGCGGGACACGAAGGTAGTTGACCTTTTGGAATGGTGGTGACACGTTGAAAGTCGTCGTGGCAGGGGGTACAGAAGTGGGTAGTTCCAAAGCAAAAGAAGACTGCCACCGAACAACAATATCGACACTTATACTCTAGGAAGTCTATCCCGTGCTTTGGACACATCTGAGCCCTTGCCACGTCGCTGCAGCCTCCACACACTAGTTCTGTGGGATCAAACGTTTCTCCGCCTACTTGTGCGTCACACCGTGCTTCACCGCCGTAATAGGCCTTTTGGCATTTGTAACAAACGTAATACGCGTATCGTTCCATCGCGTACGCGGCAGGATCCTGATGGTATTTCCCAGTTGGACCAAATATCGCTTCAGCCCTGATACGAATAATAATATTATAATCTTGTAATTGACGTTAGTTGTTCTGGACTGGTACTTACTTGTGTAATCCTTCATACTCCAGTCGCATTAAAGCTTTCCTTCTGACGTCCTCGTACAATTCCTTAATATTTGCCAACTGCTCCATCAAAGTGGGATGTTCCATTGGTACTTTGCAAATTGGGCACAGAGAGAATCCGAAAGTTATTCTCGGTCCCACCCAACGTTTCATTAGAACGTGTTTGCAGCAATGTACGTGGAAAACATGGCCGCACTGTAATTGAATCGCTGGCGCTGCTGATAAAGCTTCCGTGAAACAAATCATACACATGTCGTCGACGTCTTGCTTCAGATCGGTGCCTGGTAAACATCTGTGAAGGCACGGTAAACAATTTTTCTCGTTTCGAACGCCTCCACAGATATGCCCGCATGGATGCATTTTACTGCACGCATTTTTAGCGTGTTCTTGGCAATCGTGATCCGCGCAAATGTTCCCTATCGCTAATAAGCCTGTGTTCCCAGTAGTACCACAAAATCTACAGATTCCTGATGTAGCACCAACTGGTTTCCTCGGTGACCCATCGCGAAATTCTACCAATGCTTTTAACGTTCTGCTATCGGCAAGGGCCAAAATCCAAAACAGTTTCGTTCGGCCACAACCTTCGTGAAGGTCTACTCTGATGGCTTCCTCCTCTTCTTTACAAACTTGCCTTATGTGCATTCGTGTTCTCCTATGCAAATGCAAGATTCGATCGCATTCCGCGCATAAATTCCCGCAAACGTTGCACTGGATAATAGCTGTTGTTTCGCCATCGTCGTGATTGCTACATGTTGGCTAAATAAACAAAATGTTTGAATGGCAGACACGTAGAAATACAAACAACAAACCGATAGAAATAATTCAACACTCTTACTCTGGGCGGTGGTGGTTGACCTTCTGAACCACTCCACTGACCAGAAGACAATCTTTCGACATGATCGGAGTCCAAAACGCACAAGGAGGATAGAGCTAACCATAATGTTGGTGTTCGTAGACATTCCGCGGGATCGCGACTCTTCTCATCTAATCTAGTGAGATTTAAAATATTCTCGGCAATAGCTGCTTTCGTTACAGACGCCCATGCATCGGATAATTTACCCTGAAAAGATACCAGTAACGAATGATCGTTCAAATGCTATCGATTGAATTCGATTTACACTTACCGATGCCATGTCTTTTAGAAGTTGAATTATCATTTCGGCTAACTTTCGAGTCATGCATCCTCTCAACCACCATCTTGATCCAACATAACTCTTTGGATGTATGCTAGTAGCTAATGAAGCAGTTTGTAAAGCCTTCCCATTATTTTCTTTACCCTTTACTTTAACTTGAACTGTTAATGATTTGGCAATACAACTTAAGAAAACATCGAGAATTCCTGGAGTATGTTGATCAAAGTCCGCGCTATGCGCGAAACCGTTATTGGCAGCAGAAACAATGCTAAAATCCGTGGGTGGCAATCGATCGACGTTAATAACACTGGCCAATGTTTCTGGCTTAATTTCAGGCAAAATTCTTTTTAAAAGGGATGTTACCTAAATAATTAAAAAACAATGTTTTTAAGCGCCACAATAGAGAAGAATCTATAAGAAGTGGAATACATACTTGGCGCTGCACTCTAGCTGATCCAGTATGTAACAAGCTCAATAAATCTTTCAATAATCCATATTGATGTGACAGATAATACTGTCCTACGGAACTGCCACTTAAAGCAAGAACCATAGATAACATTTCAAAGCAATATGTATCGGCTGCTTTCGGTAGATCGCTGTTGTCGCTTAACAAACTATTTGCAGGCGTTGGTGAACATAAGAGTGTCTCCCACTCTTCCCACAGGCGAATCGTTTCTTTCCTAATAGCTTGAACAATATGTGTGCAGACTTGCTTTTGTAAATGCGTCAAGTTATTTCGGCTGAACAAAATTCCAACCATATGCTCTCGAAGGTCATTGCTATCTTCCAAGTCTTCGTTAACTCCCTCGCCAGTTTCCACTTGCTGTTGAGGTTGCTCCCCTTGTATAAGTTTGCCAAACACCTGACAGAAATTAAACGTGAGAAATTGCATAAAGTCACGCGCAAAAATCAACTTACTTGAGAAGTGATTAAACGAAAAACTTTCAGCGTTTCCGTTTCGCAATTTCTCTGTTGTATCCTTTGTGCACTTAATTGTGTTCCAAGCTTTAAAATTTCCCCTTCGACTTCGCCTAAAATTCTTATTTGTCTCACTCGTAAAGAATTGTCTGGACCCTTTAACTCGAGACCCACAACGACATGACGTAAGTCTACAGAAAATATAACATTAACATTTTTGACGAATTAATATTGTAATCAAAAGTATGTTATGAAATTACCGGTGACCGGGCAATTGATCCAACCGGCTGATCGGCTTTCGATTTCCACGGTTCTTAGTTTGACCATTTCGTCCACGTTACTACCCGCTTGAAATGTGACGCTGGACACCTTGTGCTGCGATACAAGCGCGACAAATATCAAATTGCTGTTGTGAAAATTAAATTTCGTGATAGGACTTACCGTTAAATCACGACAATTATCAATATGGATATACACGATCCGGGGAAGGGAACGAGAACTACAGCTGATAATAATCGTTTTGGTTTTATTGCGATCCTCGTCACCAGACTCCCAGAAAGTTTCTGTCGAATTGTCGGTCAAACTACCGATCATAGCCTGTCTGCTCGATGCTTTGATTTCGACACCGCATGTCAAGTCTTTCAAAACTTCTACCGAACTAGTTATTTGCTGAGAATGAGTCGATTGATGGCTTTCGTGCATGCTCATCGTAACGTCTTCTTCTTCTTCGGATCTTGAGAGTATTTTACTGATATTGCTGAACACGTGACTTCTGTGGAGAAACATGTGATCCGCAGGGGTGAATTTAATGCCCCAGCATCGAATAGCAGCTTGCTGCAGAGGCGATCCTAAAAGTAAACGTGTGACACTACTCCAAAATCGTATGAACATTTGACGCAAACTGTACATAATATAAGACATTTACCAAGCGGTGGTAGAAGCATCAGATCAGCGATAGTTTGTAACAAAGTATGAAACACTGTCGGTAGCGGATTAACAGATTCGCCTGCTATTACTAAATCGCTAAGAGGATGTTCGCACACACCAATCATATCCTAAGGAATAAATAATTCTCCATTGTATCAAAAAATCTGATTAACCAGCGCGAGTCAGTCATTACACTTACATGATCATCTTTCTTTTCAATTCGATTGTCCTCGTCGTTCGCGTCTATAGCCTCCGATGGTACAGCCGGTGTCAGAGAAGCAACGAACCACCAAAGTAAATCGTGGAGACATATTGGTTGTGTGACGCTTCTTAGCAACCAGTTCAACGCTTGCATCGCGTAAACTCGACAAGCAGCACGACGTAGCGATTGCTTCATAGCAAGTTGCAAATGTTGCAAGTTATGTTGTTGAAGCACAAATAGCATTACGGGCCTCATGAGTATTTCTATTCTATCGTTATTAGTCATTTCCGCTTGGCTCGTAGATACAATTGCCGATTGATCCATCGACGGTACCAGTTTCTGAAGCGCCGCGGAAGGATAACAGAGGAGAGACGAACCGCCATCTGTCGTGGGGGAAAAGGTATTTTTCTAGCTTTGAAAATATAACGTTTAAAAAAAAAATCTGCAGTTTTATATATATACCATTGTTCATTTCGCTACTACTGTTATTTCTTTTACGCATCATAACAACTCTACCGTCGTTAGAATTTCTGATCCAAGGGGCGCCGGTAGACATTGATACCGATCGATGAAACATGCCACGACCTTTACCACTTTCGCTGTCGCTGTCGCTCATGGGGTATTCCGATACCGGCTACAGAGAAGATTAAGTTACAAAGCGAAATCGTATAAACTATACTAATTCCTTACCCGTCCGTTGGTAGTATTAAACATGCCAGTATTTCCATCGTAAACGTTCTGTTGTCCGTTTTGACGTCTCAACGCTTCCTCGTAGTACCTCTCGTCGTGGCTTTGCGAATGATGAATTCCTAAAGCTTGCAAACATTGAAACGGACCGGTTGCCGGAAACGGTCCAGCTGCTTCCGGTGGGCTGTAATTTTCAGCCACGGACGATAATGTCTGAGATGGTCGTCTTTGTTGTTTAGGAATGTTCAAACCAGAGGCACTGGCCAAGTCTAGGAGGAACATAGCATTGTTCTTCATGACGATGTGCGTTTCGTTCCCACTAGGGCTGGTAATTGGCGATAAGATCTTCCCAGCGCCGTTCTTTCTTTTCGATATTCCAGTTAAGAATTTCTTCGTGAGCTTGAGCTTCCGCGCTCTGAGATATTTATCGCGGCACGTATCACAGATGAGATACCACGAACTACCACCCACACCACCGTCGCCACAATTCCCTGCCCAACCGATGCAATAATTTCCGCCGCTGTTGTATCCCTTTCCACCCGCGTGCCACCCACAACCAGGATGCATCATTTTCATGTGGTAAGTCACTGGATGGGGAAACATCAGACCGCACAGTTCGCATATAGTCTCCCGTTCTATGCTACCCAACACTTCGGCTCCGTTCCCCCTGGCAACTGGTTTCCATTCTTTCTTCTTCCTGCTGCCTTTCTTCTCGCGTTCCTTCAGCTTGTCTTCTCGAGGCCGTTTCTCCGGTATCGGTCGTTTGCTCAACTTCATCGTTTGTATTTGCGATATCGGGCTAGGTAAAACCGACTGTTGCTCTATAGCTTGAAGGCAATTGGTGCTGAGTTCCTCCCACAGGAATACCAAGCTTTTCAAAGCAGGCGGTAGAACCGCCACCGTTTGAAATTCCGGAAGGGAACCAAGTTTACCGTTCGCTTGAACCTCTTCCTTGATAGTAATTTCCTGTTTCTTTCTGCTCCTGTTCGCGTTCGCGTTCGCAGCCGAGCGCGTCAGCGTTTCCAACGTGCTGGGTTGTATGTGCAAATAATTACCAGCGTTTGTCACTTCGACCGAGTGTCTCTGCCTGGCTTTCTGTTCTTGCGTTTGCTTGTCGTTGGCCTGCACCACCGCTTGTCTTGTTACAACGAGAGCGCCCTGCTTGGGCAAACTAGGATGAAACTTGAGAAAACTCGCGCAAGCCATGGCGTCGTGGACGATCCCTTCGTGCCAGAGGAACGCCGCGAACACGGCTCTCAGACACTCGGCTACGGATGGGCTAATGGCTTCTTTTACTTTCTCCTTGCTCAAGTTTAACGTTCGACTTGGATTCGAGTTTTGATGCGAGCTGGCTGGAGACATCGGCCGCTTCGCTCTGGTCTTCACCATTTTGGTGTGATCCCTTCTGTTTAACTTTGGCGAGTGACGTTCTTCTTTAGGGCCCGCGGAGCCGATGCTAAAGTGACTTTTCATGGCCGTGGTCGCGCTCTCGGGACTCGTTTGCGTCTGTGCTTGAGAGACTTTTCGTGGACTTTCTTGAGAATCCTTTGGAAAACAAATGTTCTTGATGTCAAGTTTCACAATTATGGGGCTGTTCACTCGTTATCAAGTCTTATATATTCAAATCAACACATTTTTACATTCACGAGGTATTCGTAATAGAGTGATTAGTAACTTACGCCGCTGTCTTTCTTCGGAGTATCGGGTGGACTAGCTATGCTACCCTCGGACCTCATGTGTAAAGAACTACAACTTGGACTCGGTGAGAGGTCACGAGTGTTGGCAGTTGTACTGACAGCGCTGGGAGACTGCGAAGGATCCCTCGTTAGACTACTGACCAAGGCACTTGTATCGCTTTGCGTTGATCCCCGTCGTTGGGAGGTGGTGCTGTCCACCATACCGCCCGACACTTGAAAGAAGAAAAGCGAAAGCTTCGTTGGAAACGGTTACGGTTGTTGGTAAATGTATCGCTAATGTCTCTGATTTCTATCGCAGGAGTATTGCTACCTCACCTTGCGTTTCAAAGACAATGGACACAGAAAAAAAAGTAGTACGCTTTTGTAACATTCTCTCGCATAAAGTGTTAATTTCGTGCAATATAAGTACGTGCGACTTTATCGTGAACGAATGAAGTGAAGAAGATCGAACGAGTTCACCTTCGAACAAAGTGCTATGCAATTATGATTTAAGAAAAATGACCGATACAATGTAGCAATATTTATGTAAGTGTAGAGCCAGAGAGTTTAACTGTGTGTTGTTATCCTTACCTAATGGGGAGAGGCCGACACTTCGGGGGGAGCCACATAGCACAGGGCTGCTACTGATACTATCTCCCCCTCCTATCAAGCTTCTCCCACCTGGTAATTTTTTGTCACTTGTAGAATTTATATGTTGTGTGTTATAGCTCGTTAATACTCTAGCATAATCTCTGTGTATACACTTAATATGCACTATCTGAATCTATAATTCGGAAAGGATAACGGTGGACGTGTGTTTGTACGTGCATCAACTGACTTATACATTGTACAGTTCGTAGTACTTTCTCTGCATGCAGTTCGGTCTTCGACGAAGAGAAATTCTACTGTGCCATCGCATTCGTTGAGAACTGTGATCGGTGTTAATGTGATGTGTAATACGTGTTGTCAACAACATAAACACTATACACTATTCTTGACTGTACAGACTGAGGATTATGTTCAGTAGGAAAGGAGCGAGTACCTGGTGCATGAGCAGCAGGAGGGAAGAGGCAATTACCAGAACCAACTGGCTGCCGACTGGACCCAGCTAAGACCAACATCACTATTTTGTTATAACTAATCCAATAAAGTATGTTTTATATTTATAGCCTAAGATCATTCGTTCAACTAGAATAGATAAATCAGAAAGGTGTGACTTATGGTGAGACTTAGTGGTTTACTCTAAATATCCATTCCACAGAGTAGAAAAACGTCTGTGGGACGCTAAACAGTCTTACAAGTGTCAGTTTCGGGTCTCTCAGCTTCTGAAATGATTCCCTCCTCAGACCAGTTACGGTGCCGAAAGTGTGAAGTAAGACACACACATGAATGTATGAGATTAACAATGAGACCGTAGGAGGAATATAAAGATCCGTCGAGTACGGCAGCGATTCGTTTAAATGTTTTCATGTGGCGTATACGTACCAGGTATCTGTACCGGACTAGAGGACGGGCTGTGAAATCTTGGTGACCCACCTTGGGGATTCTTCGGAGACGAGCTTCTCGACAGTCTTTTCGGTGTCTCTGGCGGCGTAGCTCCGTTCCCGTTCGCGCGACTCTCCCCCATTGCTTTTACCAGTTCCTTCACAGACACTCCGACGAACTCGGAAAAATCCCTGCAAATTCCAAAACTATATGACGAAACTAATCTAACTGCACGTATCGCGACGTTCATTCTTTTTATTCACCTGCCAGGGGAACTTTTCTTTTCTCCGTGACACTTGTCGTCGCCTCTCAGCCACTTCTGCAGAACGCTGAATTTCCCACCGCCCCCTTCCCTCTCCCTTTCTTTCGCGACTCTTTCCTTGGAATGAGGCTTGGAGAACTTTGGCGAAACGTCGGTCTTCTCCATTGCAAATCTGTCGCTCCCTACGGTGAAAATATTTTCAGTCATTTTCAGGCATTAAACGTGATATCGCAAGAAAGCCAATAAAATGGTTTCTTGGCCAACACGTTTAAAGAAATGGACAGTTTGAATGTTTGCTAAGTTATATATTCTGGTTGTCGGATCTGTCGATTCATTACCTTAACTGATTCAGAGGAGTTAATGCAATGATTGACGATCTTAAAAATAAAAAGGATGCACTTTTGATCGACTCGTACCTGGTGATTCGTGTTGATTGTACGTGCCAAAAATAAATGGATTCGTGTTGCTACCCTCTCCAGACTCAGCGGTTCCCGGCGTATAATTCTGCGTGGTGAAATTGAATCCCTCGTGGCTCACGGAAGGCACGGAGAAATCGAAACCTTTATGACTAGGTGAAACGGACGGATCTGCTATGACTAGTTTCTTTTCCATCGGGTCATTCTCGAGATCGTGATCGATCTTTATATATGCCACGCCGTTTTTATTGATAGCCAGGGTCCAGGCTTCGCCATCTGCCACGCGACCTCTGTCGAAGCAGTACTTGGCCATCGAGTCGTCGTCGATGCGCACCCAAGTACCTTCGCTATTCACAAACTAAAGATTTTTCGAAGAAAACGTGTTCACAGTTTTTATCCCTTCGTTTCCGTGAGAAAAAGAAAAACATCGAGACTTACGTATTCTTGTATGGTCACCGTGTTACCCTGACCTAACATTCCTACCGACGCCGCCTTCAAATTTGGCCTGCTTCTGATATTGTGACCGGATGCACCGCACTTTACGACGACCATGTTCCTACCAGAGTCGAACGTAACCGTTTTCCTTTTACTGAAACGAGAAAAACTAATTGCATAATCACGTAGCGACTACCGTAAACAGAGATTCCGTCGATCTACGTACTCTTCGACCACTTCGGGCCGTTTCCGTAGAATGGTTTCCTTGATGACTTGATCTAGGATAGATTTCGGCTCCTCAACCGGGAGGAGCATGGTCTTTCCCAAGTGTTGGTTGTACTGCAGACACCAGGCTTCCAAGTGACTGCTACTGCAATACCGCTCTATCGTTTCCGCGTTTAGTCTTAACCAAACACCGTCGTCGTTGTGAATCTATAAAAATAACGGTTCCAGTAAAATCTTGACAAGAAATTTAACCATAACAAAGACGGGAACAGAATTACCTCGTCTATGAAAGCTATAGTGTCATCAACCGAAACAAAGCCAATTTGCTCGCTCTGGAGAGAAGGATGGGCTCTGATTCTCAAACCAGCGCTATTCTTCGCCACGAATTTCCTGAGTCTGCTCGGTTGATGCTGCGGCTTCTTCACAATATTCTGTGTCGGTGGTTGCATTCCCTGTGGCGGCTCCTTCACCTCCACCTTATAATTCTGTGGGGGAAAATTAGGATCATCGATTAAAAAATCATTTTTTTAATACGTTACTAAATTCGAGTACTCACGTCCTCCATATTGTAACCGTCCACCGTGATCATAAGCGAGTACCATCCAACGGATGATGGCGTCCAGGTCGCGCTATAACTTCCATCGCCGTTAGGTCTGACCAGCATGCTCTCGCTTGATCTTTTTATAGCCGGTGACATAAACCTTAACTCCTCGAACGAATAGTTCTGATAAGCCTTCATTATGGTAATCGCGTGGAAGCATGTCTTGTTGTTGATCGTGACCTCGTACGGTACGTCCAACGAAGGTTGAGGATGACCGCCAAAGGTCATTGGGTCGGGCTGAGAAACACGTCGAATCTTTCTTCCTTGTTCGGAGTCCGTCAAGTCTTTTTTGTCGATGGGAATTGCCTTTACCTCCACCTGCGGAACATTCGTCGCAAAAATTTGTTGTGAATTTTAGAGAATCCTTTCTTCGATGATAAGTCGATTAACTGCAGTTATTTCACGGTGAAAGTGTCATAAGATTAGCAAGAATACATCATTTTTGACAGTTAAATACATAGAGAAACTCACGTGTTGCTTTTAATCGTTTCTAAAGTTACGAAGCACTTTTTTAAAGGTCGTACCTTTAAGTTGGGTACGTGAACGACGTCTCCATACTGATCTCTCGTGAGTATTGTAACGATGGCCGGCCATCCACATTTCATTTCGTCCTTCGAATAAAGCGCCTCGCATTTCGACGGGTCCACGAAACTGTCCGGTTGCAACCATCTCGCCAGGCGACCTCCGCTTGTGCTGGCCGTGCAGGAGACAAAATCTCGTAGAAATAGCCGTTCGTTCGAGTGACAACTGAAAATAGAAGAGAAAATTCCCTGGTTACAGTACTCCCGAACTACTTCCCGGTACTACAGAAAAATAACAGCCCACGAGAATTTTTATCGACAGCGGGGATTATCGAATGCAAATTGAAAAGTCTGCGTGGATGGACGTTTCGCTAACAATGGAGCTACTTTCATCCGGGTTCCGATAAACGCAACGATATTGTTACTCAATCGCTTATGAAGTAATTTGCCCATCGTTCGTGGTACACGGTGAAATCAATTTCTACATAGCTGCGATAACTTTTATTTTTCTTCAATTTCTTTACCGCCCAACAGTTTTCGTTCTTTCTCTCGAGTTGTCCAAATAAACGACCAACCGCGGTAACGCAGTCGGCGCGTTTAAAAAATCACGAGTAGCAACCGGTACGGGGTCAAAAAGTGGTTTCGAACGAGGCCACGATCGTTGCAGGTAGCTGACTCGTTAGAACGAGTTCCCGAGTCGCAATGCCCCTAATTGGTGCTCCGTTCCGCGGATCTCGTCTGGGTAGATCACGAGCAGAGGACGATGCTCCTCTGCCAGCCAGACAATCGCTGCTTCCCCTAGCGATTCATCGTCGGACTCATCCCTAATAAGGCGCAATCACATCGCAATTCTGTCCCCCGCGGCTCGACAGCTACGCGTTCCCTATACTCTACGCGCGATCATGAGTACCGATTTCGCGATCGACGTGCCGTTGGAACGACTTCTTCCAGACTCTTGGACCCGGGCTGCTTTCTAAGAGACAGGCGGGACCAAACCGGTTTTGAAACGGGCCAGATGTACATTTAATCCAAATGGATTAAATGCAAAGAAACGAAATCTATCCTTTCGATTATTTGCGAGGACACACGATGTTTGCGACGTTTGCCTAAGAAATTGCCAACGGGGACTCCGAAACCTGTTTCCTGGATCGGAACGCTTTTTCCGAGAAAGTTGTTCAGAATATTTTCACAATTTTTTGTTAGCCTCCTGTTTCGTCCATATACAGCTCGCTTTTTATCTGTATTCGGCGAATGAGGCTTTTAAATACAAAAAATAAAATAAAACAAGAAACGTCGTGTTAATTTCTTGCAAAATTCACCTCGCCTCTGCATGGGGCCCCTGGGACCCCGTATCGACTTGTTCGGTGGGGGATGCGGAGTAGCGAGTGGTAGTCGAGACAGGAGTACAACATGGATCTAGTAGTCTTGTTAACAATTCAAAGTTGACTGGAAAAAAGACCCAAGAGGATCCTTACATGCGATTGTACATGGAATCAAGATGAGTCGCTTGTGTACCCATCCTCGATGACACGGAGAAAACAGGAGAAACCTGGTATTTCTTGGAGTAGATTGCACGTTTATGTAATCTTCGACCATTACCAAATGATCAACATTCTACCGTAACCGTGCACCGAGATTGGTCTTGTCCATTATGACAATACGGACGCCAGGAAACTCGATATCGCGACAATTTTATTCGTCGTAAACGTCGATACGTATTCTTTAACGCCAGGACCACCGAACACCCTTGAGGTGAGTTTCGTTTTACCGATCGTTCGAGTAACGAGAGACGAAAGAGGATCGACGGAAGGAATGCGAAACGCAATCAAACGCCAGTGGACGGGGGTATCGGGGAAAGATTCGTCCGCTGGAAATAGGAAGGGCGGCTTTAAGGTCAGCCTCGATGTGACGTATGGTCAGCACGTGGTCATTTCGGAAATGACCAGTTCAGCTGGCGTCAGGTGCTTCCTGGTTTGAGAAGAGCGTTATGAATGAATGGACGTTTCGCATGTGCGACGCAGACAGGACGGGACGCCGGCGGGCCTCGAGTTGCACGGACACGGGCAATTTCTCATGGGAAATTAAATGGCCAGGCTTTTGCTCATAAAGCGAAGAGCTACGGGGCTATAGCGCTTTAGGGAAACGCCCGTCTACCATGAAAAGCGACGTGACTATGAAGAGACGCTTTCGAGGCTGGGCGGTCTTGTTTTTACGGCGGTCTGGAATCCGCGTTGGGTTTCGAGTCTTCTACGAACTGGCTATAAAAGAACCTACTCTGCTCTCCGGGCCGTCCATGTTGCATCTGTTTCCCCTATTAATTTTTTGGTGGATATTAAGATATGCAGTCGACACCGATTCCCATTAAATGCAATTCGCACGGCTTCTAGGACCGGCATAGAACTACGAACACGGACAATTTAAAGCATATTCGTGGTGGAAATTTTATATAAATTTCTATTCATTCAAGAAACGTTAGTCTCAATGGACACGTACAATAAAAGGAGTTAAGAAACACTGCCTTAGGTTTACCATTTTACCTGTTGACCGATCACCACAAACAATATCGTTCAACGAAAAAAACTAAACAAACGGAAGAATCGGATAAGTGTCGAGCCTATATCAGTTGCACTTGAACGGAGAAACACAGGTGCTCTCCCACGACCGTAACCTGGTTCGCCAAACCGCACACAAACACGCGTTACGTAAACCTCGGTCACGACGATCCGTGTTTCGCGATGGACGGAGCCGTTTGGCTGGTAACTTGGTCAAGGTCGGACCTTGGAGGGCAGAAAGTGCGCCGACCCTGGTCGACCTGCTCGAAAACCGGTGGCGTCGCCCTCCCGGCGCGGCCCTTCTTCTCTCTCTATCACAGTCCGGTCAGGACGAGCCCTACCGAACCGGTGTCGAAGCGTTCGCCCCTCCGGGCTTCGCACCATCGCCGTGCTTTTTATCTTTTAAAAGACCCCGAAGGGGGAGAGCACGCGAGATCGTACCAAGCCAAGGAACACGGTTCTTGGTGGGGAGGAGACACCGATCGTGCATGCCACCGGCCACAGTTTGAAAGCAACCTCCGTCATGATCGCGTCAGCTGGCCTCTAGTCGCCCCACCTCTTCGTAAACCAGCCGTCCGCGCGCGTGTTTGGAGTTGCTCGCAGCGGGCACTCGTACAGTTTTGCGTCGGCCTCCAATCGCCTTCTCCGCGCAGGATTCCTGTCAGCCGTCCCCCTCAACGGACGTGAAATCCGGTTCGAAGGGATCGCGCGAGACGAATCGATACGGAATCTCGAAACGCAATCCGCGACGTCTTTGTTCCGCGTCGGGTCGTGATAATGCGCGAAGCGAACGAGTCGGGCTCTCGAACGATCGACGCGAATCGATCGATCTAGCCAGATGTGACCCGGTTCGAAGCCGCCGTGCGAGATCCAGAAACGGATGGACGTGTGCGTCTCGCGCGCGATCAACGATCCGTCGTGAATGATGTAAGGAGGATCGAAGGCGATCGATCGCGGCCCTTTGTCCCGAGGATGCTGGAGGATCGCAAGATGAGGAGGAAAGTGTTCGCCGGCCTGGACGGGCCGAATTGTGATCGTGCGATCGTATGGTCGGTGTTGATGTGGTGTCTAGTATCTCTGCCCGGTAACGTCAAGAGTGCACCGCCCGGGATATGCGCGATGGACGGTTGCAACTGCACCGTCAAGGCGCACCGCTGGATTAACGTCAAGTGTGTCTTCTCCAACGATCAGGTGAATGAGAAACCCAGTACAGATTGATTCGTGACTAACCTACGGTACAGAGATCGGCCAGAGATCTTTTCCGCTATCCGGTTTAGTTGCCGGAGATCTTTGTCGCTACCGCCATGGCAACGATGGTGGAAACGTGCGACGCAAATGTGCGTCCCGATGACTAACTCTTTGGGTCCCCCAGCCTCGTTCGAGATTATATGTTTCGGTACCTTAGGATCGACCATGCGGTCTAAAAATGGATTTGTCCCGCGATTACGAACCACTTACTCCCGCTCGAAACTCGAAACTCGCGAAGAGAAAGGTTTCCGGGTATCGCTGGAATTCTCTTCGCCGAGTACCAAACTAGAAATATTCCGTTGTAAAATTACTCGAAAGAACGAACCGCGTATCTCTGCGGTGCACCCCAAATTGCTCGAAATTGCTTACGACCACTGTTCAAGGTGAACACGCGCGAGTCCGCCAGCTCTCGAACGGTGAAAGTTTTCGGAGCAAGGGACTCTGGGGGATCGTGTTCCAGTTGAAATTAGCATATAAATCATTGGTCCGTGAATATGGCGGGAATCACACAGTAGGGTGCACATGGGAGACTTCGGCTGTACAGTGTACTCCGGGCGTCTTCTATGAGCACGTTTCGGTGCATTATACATATCCGTAGTTCCACTTGCCGGTCCCGTTGTCAGCTGCGCTTGGCTGGATGCAGTCCAACCGATGCACCGCGCCTTGGAGGAGAGAGACCGTATTACGACGACGCGTCGCGCCGCGACGCGCACCGACCGGCTTTGGCTCTCCTTCGCGCTCCAACTTCCGCGAGAAACTTGAAATCGAGTTAGATGAGGTCGCCCAGCCGCTAACGGGACGACAAATTGTTATTGTCGTCGGCCGCGGTATTTTCTATCGACGATCAAAGTGGCAACGAATCGTTGCACCGTGCTGGATTCGGGAAACGAAAACTTTGAAATTCACTTACCGGGGAAGCACTCAACTACCTCCGCTCCTATTTTAACCCACTTTTGTACCACGATAGGTTGCTAGACTCTGTTGCTACGTTGAGAATATTAGGTTCCACAACTTCGTTATTTTAGAGACAAAAGTTATTAAAGTTACATACCTTGCAATTTATATTACGAATATTAAACTGTTAGGGACGTTATGCAAATGGTTTGCTGGAACGCTTCTTTTTCCTTAAAGGGGGAGTCCTATTAGGAACTTATTAGTGAACCATGTGTAGTGAACACACTATAGATTCCTTAAGAAGTAGATCACTAGTACGAATGGAAAAATCTTTTTCTATGCTTCCTAAAATATTTAAAATTTATTTTGGGCGGAGTTTAAGGCAATTGCAGGAGCAATGTGTGTCACCAGCAACTCAGATGGCAAACATTGATATTCACGGTACACATTGCACGGTTTGTAACTGTAATTACTTGTATCTTGTATCTGAAATTACCGAGTTATTACACCTAGTAATTTCTACAAATATCAACAGAGGCCAGTAATTGACGGTTCTGCAAAAGCAGATTAAAATCGGTAAAGGGGTAAGCTGAGTGGTTCCATTGTTGAAAGGAGACACCGTGAAACTCGTTTCTGCCGACGAGGATCTCAGTTTCGCGAACGTTGCTTCGAGATGCTGGTTCCATCGGACCGGTACGTAACGCGTCGCGGAATTGACGATGGTCTCGATTTCATGAGGTCGACTGGCCGGGTTAAATATCGACGCTACGCTTCTCGACTACGAACTGGGCCCCTGCTTATTGTCTATCTTTATACCGATCTAAGTGCTTAGAAACGCAAGGATAACCAGTTCTCCGCAGCGTTCGCGTTTACGAAATAACGTTCGCTGTTCGTTATGAATTTTATCGTTGTCGTTGCCTCCTGTAACGCGTTTCGAAACTTCGCCACGACGCGTTTCACGATCCCGACAAACGGCTGAACTGTCCCTCGGAAGTTTGGAGCACCCTCCAGTTAAACGAGTAAAAAATTCTTATCGAGCTTGGAAATCGTCAGAGACTGGAACGTAATCCAGGAAATCTCGGTGTAAAATCTTCTTTAATGTAGTTTTAATGTTCGAGGTCGTTTCAACCAACGCTACGATTAGGCAAATGGCAAATAAATTATTTTCCTTATTCTCGATCCACACGTGCACGTATTATTATTATTTCGTTTTTTATTATTACAGATTGCATTAACGTTCGCGTATGTTAGAAAGAGATCAAAATAATAGAGATAGTGACAACCTACGCACCGAATCGTTCTATCATCGGATATTTTACTATTTCTTTGCCAGCTACAGCTTCTCTGTGAGCCGGCGACCATGCCGACTGTGTTTCGCATTATTGAAAGTAATTTCTGTCGGTCTGACAAACGCCTGTCGCGACTGGCGTAGGCGTGACACGCATTGCAATGTATACCGGGTGTCTCTGATCGGGCAGGAATAGGGAAACGATTAACAGGGAAATCATTCGACTACGGTGTCCACCGCCAGTTCGTTGACACTGTTAGCCCGCCACGAGTCGCTCGGCGAAATATACTTCCTAATCGAATCAGATCCAGCCACGACGTCACTTATCATTCCACCGTCGTTAATTCCATTTACAGGCCGAGCCGTCGCGGTTGTTTGCGTTAAATGCCCGGGACAGGCTTTCTTCAAACGTGGGCTTCGTGATGGCTGCGTGCCGATCGTCGTTCAATGAAATACCGATGCGATTACGAGCGATGGTTTCGTCAGCACGGCGTTAACTACATACATTCACACTCGTCGTTTAGATTCTCAGAATCGAGTCGATAAGATACGCGATGAAAATCGGAGAAATCTTATCGCGAATAGATACGTCGAAAACCGAACAAAAATTAAAGCATTTCAAATAATCGTAAGAATTGTAGGTGATGCAAACGAGCGAGAATCTTGGTTTGTCTGCGAAATTAGTGAAAAGATCGTCGCGGATAAGGCGTTAAAATACTTCCTCGGCGATGCACGCATGTCACTTACATCAGAGAACAGTTAAACAGCGTTTCGAAGAATCTCGCGGCACGAACCTCGTGTTTGTACATTCAAAGTGGCTCCGTCGAAGGCCGAATCCGTGTAGATCGTCGTGATAGGTCCCACGAAATCGTTGCTGGCTTCGCCTAAACCTAGCCGGCTTCCGCCGCGCGCAACTTCCGGTCGAAGGGTTAGCCGTGCTCGAAGTCACAGCGCGTAGAGGAGAGCGACGCATTGTCATCGCCTCGACGATATTTTCTCCGTGTCTGAGACCGGGGGCATTGTTCCTCCATCAGCGCCAGTAAACAGTTTGATCTTCCCCTGTTCGCGGTCGGATTTGAAAAATCGAAGATTAACCTTATCGCGCGCGGTCGTACGTTGACCCGAGGCTATTATACCACGACCACACGAGTTTACGTCTGGAACTAATCGAATAATCGAATATTTGAATACTTTAAAGGCATTCGAAAACCATGAACCAACTTTGGAATATTTGAGCAGAGCTAGTCGGTTAACAGTAAATCGCTATACGATGATCTGCGTTCGCCGCGTGATAATAAAAGCACCGAGGCTAAATGTTTTTACATTACGCTGTGAGTACGAACGATGGGAGCATCGAAGAATAATTCCATACCAGACTTAAGTTATCAAACAAGCAAGATCATCTGTACTGAATTGCTTAGCATTCCCATGAATGCGACGTCTACATTAGCGAGATCCGCTCTTTTCTTCGGGCCGACTATCTATAGAATTAAGCACAGCCATAGTGACCCCTATCAATAGAATCTGCAACATCGCAAACAATCTAAGTCACCAGCGTAGGTCTCTAAGCAGAAAATTCTACAGGACAGTGCATTGTAATCGAATGCATTATCGTTACAATTTGTATACGGATTAAATCTTATTGTACGCACTACAGAGTTGATCGTAATTGAACCTTCGTAACGTGACCTCTTAAATTGGGTGGTATTTCTCTCGAGGAAACGTCGGGATAAACAGCGAACTCAGAGTTTGCATCGCTTTATGCTCTCTAAAATTATCTCGAAGTTACTGGCCCGTTGGTATTTAAAGAAATTCTCGTGCAAAAGGTTAACAACCGCCGCGTATCTTCGATGAACGGGCCCCAGTGTGCGTCGTTAATTCAATCGCGGGCCGATATCGATTCGATCGAAACGGACGGACCCGTCGATTACTGACGGAGACGACGCGTGTCGCGATTAATTCCGTTGCATCTGCTCGATACAATAACGATGGAACCGTTATAATCGTGCGACCGGGGAGCAAATATGATCGGAAACGGGAACGATAAAAGCCAGTTGTAACGGAAACGAACGTTCCACGAACAGTGGCTCCCGACCATACGTCGAGCAGATATATTCGACGACCCGGTTGCGCCTCTAATTAGCTGGATGCAATTATCGTTCGCGGAGGTCCCCGAAAACGGCGCGATCGTGCCGTCAGGCGACGCCCACGGATTTCACGATCGTTTCCACGTGTCACGGAGGAACAATGGTTCGCGTACTCGAGAATCGGTCGCACCTCTGCGGGCCTTTTATTCGCTCCGTCGGTCGGACGTGTCCAACGCGGTCGTTGGATTAATAAATTGACGGGGCCACGGGGGTACGCGATGGTGAGAGGGGGGCAGGAGGCAGGGGGCAGGGTCCGCGGTGGGAATTTCGAGCGCACAAAACGAACCACGCGGATAGCGAGAGGACAACCGCGTCGAACTCTTCTCGTCCGCTGCCCAATCCTTGCTCCGGCTCAATTTATTCACAATAGGCCCTTTCAACGAATTACACTTCGGTCCACGACGAATCTCTGGGTGTTACCGAGCGACCATAGCGCGATCATGCGGGCGCGCTGTGCGGACCGCGAGCAGGGAAGCGGGGGAGGGAAAAAATTATGGGTGTCGTTTATCATCGCTCCCCGGCGTCCGCGGGGGCTTCGCTACTCTTTGATCCGAATGCAACGGCTTGTTTTTGCGCCTTACACGATCTCTTTTCCTCCTCTGCTTCGCCTCGTT